TATCAGAAAGCACTCTGTTTTGTGGATATAATCGTGAGGGCTGAAGAAAAGATTATATCTTTTTTTTCCGCTTTTTTAAATAAAATTTCATTCTTTTTTAATTTTTTTTTAATTTTATTATGTATATAAACTGTTGTTTGTTATTTTTTTACTTATTATTCCCCCCCTTTTTTTTTCCACATGTCTATTATTTTTCTTTGTTTTATTCTTCATTTTGAACTTATATATATATATATATTCCCTTTTTTTATAAATTTTGATTTTAGTATTATAGAATAAAATACTTGTCCGACTAATAAACCAAGAAATGAACAGTCATTAAGGATATTATTAAATTATTCTATGTCATTATATCCAAATTCAGGTATCATGTTCAGGTATTGTTCATGAAATTTTTCCAAGGGAAAAGTTGCTACGATATTTTTATGATGACTGCCATTGCTTCAAAATTTGCAAGGATATAAGCTTACAAAGATATTAAAATTTAAATAGAATTTTTTAATAGAATTAGGCAATATTTTTTTTTTAATTTGTATGATTTTGTTTTCTATTAAGTAGGTGTAAAAATAAATACATTTGTCTTAAGAGTCAAAAATATATTGAAACGCAACAAAATAAATTACTAAAAATATTCATTTTCGAGTTTGTTGAGGAAAATAAGAGCATTAATTAACTATTTCCAAAATCACTTTGGGAATTATCATGCTATCTAAAACAAATATGCTTACTAAATATATTACAGCAGTTTCCTAATGGTCTAGTATAAATTTTATACCAATAAGTAGATATGACGACATATATGTTCCGTTGAAATTCATTAATAATTGGTGACCACTATTTCACTCCTGCATTATCTTTCTCACTTTTGTATTACAGATTTATGGAACTTGCCTTTCAGATTTTAATCGTTTTAAGAACTAAGAATATTTAATTTTATTTAAGAAAAACAATATTAGCTGCACATTGAGCTTCGATGATTTGATATATTTTGACGGATGTTATCTTTGAAAGTTTTTTTGTATTTGTGGCATTACAAAATATGTAAAATTTAATATTAATTAAAATGCATTGGGCATTAATGCAAACACATTAAGTGAGAAATTCAAAATACAAAATGCATTAATTATATTTTGATAATCACAGTTTATTGTTTTATCTGCTCAACATCATCAATTAACTTACATGATTTATTTTATTTCCAATGGCAGGGAACTGGATGAAATATAACAAATAAAAATAAAGAACAAGGATCACACTCAGNTATATTGAAACTATTGTTAATTTACTATGTGTGATTTTTACTATATATATTCTATTACGCGATTTGTAGATTTTTATGAGATTTTTTCTTAATTGGCAGAAGTACTAAAACATATTCCAAAAGTAAGCTCACATTTTCTCATATGTTTTACAGCAATTGTTGTCTTAAATTTGATCCTTTAATGTTTTTTTTAAAACTAGTACTAAGTTCATGACCATATTACTAGACGGATTATGCGATTCTAGGTAATATCAGGTCATACTGTACAACTGTATTGTTTTTACTCGGATGAAACCGGTTTGCACTTGTTAAAGCTCCTGCATCAATTGGTGAACATTGTAATGCAATACGTTGAAAATATATACAAATAGGAAGTATATAAGTGTGTAAAAAATCTCCTGAATAAAACCCTTTACTTCTATGTTTAAATGTAAAAGAATATAAACTCGGCAAATCATGTAATTGTTAAAAAACTACAGCGCCTCTAATAATTTGATGTTATTATCATAATGTAATTATATAATGTCAGTGGCTGGGTGGCGCAGTTGGTTTGTCGTCGGCCTTCTGAGCCCAAGTTTGCGGGTTCGATCCCCGGCCCAGACACCGGATTTTCGGGATGCAGAAAATCCTCAGCGGCCATGTCGTATGATTATGCGGCATGTAAAAGATCCCTGGAGTGCCTTATTGTCTCTTGGCATTTCCGGCAAAATTAAATTCCTAGTGCACTTTAGCATCCAAATAGAGTCTCGGTGCTGCCATCTACTGTGGCAGAAACTAGACGTCCATGACCAACGGTAACTCACTCATTGTGGTGGTCCTGAAAGAGTGGATACCATCACTGGAGAACGCACTAGGTCTGCTCATCGGCAAGACCGATTGTGCAGCTCATTGGAAATAAAAAATAATATAATGCTTGATATAATATATATTTTATACAGCACCCCTGGCAGGGGCGGGACAGGGTTGAGTAATAAAATATATTCTATATTTATATTATATATCGTCTAATTTAACCAATTGATACACTAACGTAGACAAGTTCAAACCGGTTTCAGTCATATAAAAACAATAAATCTGTATAGTATCACCTAAGATTTTACATAGAATCTTATAGTGCGTCTAATAATTAGTCCACGGACTGTAGTTATTTTAGTCTCATAGATTATTGACAATTATATTTACGATTATTTATTTTATATTACAATTATTATTTACTTCCCTTAACAAATCAATACCCCTGGGGGTATTGATTTGTTAGTTTCCTTGTCTTCTGGATTGGGTACAAAATTACAAGGATACGGAGTTGAGCATTGGTAGTAGTAAACCCATAAAAATGGGTCGCCTGTTCATAATATAAAATATAAAATATAAAATGATATAAAATATAAAATGGAATTATTGTTTACTTAGTTTTCTATATGTGTTTTGATCAAGAAAGTGGTTGAAAGTTTTGGATATCTTAAAGTTAATTTTACTTTTTTGCGTATTTTACTGTATTTCTAGAAATGTTTAAGCAAAAAAAAAAAAGTTTTTTAACATGCAATTAGGAATTAAAATTCTTCTTATTCTATCTTATTTCTTGTATTATTTTATTAATTAATAATTGAAAAATTTAAATTGCAAGGTACACTTTCTGTAATATTTTTAAAGAATGTAATTTTATACGGCAAAATACAAAATTTGAACAAAATCCGTCGAAAAGTTCTTAAAAAATCTAATTTTACAAAAGTCGTATATTTCAAATTCAATCCTTCCAGAACTATTCTACTGATATTATTAAAATTTTATGATATAAAATAACATTCTTTGAAAATATGTAAAAATTTGTGTACCTTGCTATTTTAATCATTATTAAATAAAATAATAGAAAATAATACTATTTTATGTAAATGTTTAAAAATAATAATACTAAAAGGTATTTTATGCTCTGAAATATCTTTAAATAAACTAATTATATAGTCATAAAAAAATTCCTGATATATGGTGAAATACGCAAAAATAAGGCTAATGATCATTAAGGGCTCAAAACTTTACCGTTTTCCTGACCAAACTATTGGGGCTATATTTCCCTGATTGCGATAACACCTATTGTTTGAGAATTAGAAGTACAAATTCTTTGAAAAAATGCACGTTTATTCGGAGAAAGTATATTTTTGCGCCTCACTTCGCAACTTAAAATATCGTCTATAATAATTAACTAGTTAATTAAGACCTTTACTTTCACACCATAGTCTTAATATCCCATCATTAGAGCAAAAGTTTCAGCGTATTCTATTTCTTTTTGTGTGTGCACTGTACAGCGAATAAGAAAAGAATTAAAATCATCATTTTTATATGGTCTGCTGCAAGATCTTTAATGGAGAAATAGTTTTCGAAAATTTACGAGTGAGATACAAATTACAACAAAATTTTCCGTAGTTTTCAAATATAATTTTTTTTTACCGTATTATGAGAAAGAAAAAAGAAATGAAAATTGGGCAAATAAAACTCGGTGAAATTATAGATTGGAGACAACATAAAGCAACAGGAAGCATCTCACGCTAGTAAGTAAGCTTAGCAGTTTCTTTTTAAATTTTTGTTCGAATTTTTATTTATTTTACCAGTTTGTATTCTTGACTTTTTTCCATAACATGAAGTATCTTTTATGTTTCTGTGACTAATAAATTAATCATAATTTCTACCCCTATAGAATCTATATTATATTATAACATGAAGCATCTTTCATGTTGTTGTGACTAATAAATTATTCATAATTTCTACCACAATAGAATCTATATTTGCTTGTTACCTAGTATTTTTACAAGATTATGTACAATATTTATGCGAACTAATTTATAGTGACTGAACATAACAGATGATAGTACAAACAATGCGTAAAGGTTATAAAAACTACAAAAGCTACTACTCAAATAAAGAGGACTAATTAATTCAGTGCAGTATCCAATTAAATCTGATTTAAATCACATGGTTAGGAATAATCCATTCACTGCTCTACTAGTAGCAAGTATCCAATTGCAGAAACTACATTGGGACAAAAATATTTACAGAAACTATTGCTAAATTAAAAATACTGTTAAACAAGAGCTCTCGCTAAGAATTCAAATTTTTTTTAAAGCATAATTATATATAATGGGATTCGGAGCCATCACTGAAAGGTTGTCAAACAGCCCAATTCTTGACCGTTACTGTCTTTCAGAGTTAAGACTCTTAGATTTGTTCAAAATGTTTTATTCTGATTTTCCAGTGAACTTTATGTTATAATAGCTTAATATTTTGTTATGATATGTACAAATACTAATTGATTATTTGTAATTTTATATTTATTTTTAGTTTTAATGGAGGATCTAAAAAAGATGAACGCCTTAAATGGTATCTTAGTTTTTGAAAGCCAGTAGAAAAATATCAGGAAGCTGCATACAAACACGTTTTTAACTACACTATGGTATCCAATTGCTAAAATAACCATGCTTGGTGAAATCAAGATGATAAATAATAATTAATTTAAAATCAGCGCTAAGCGCTTTTAACCATCTCATTGTTGAAAAAATACCGTTAATGAAAATACCAGGCTTAGTGATGTCACGATGGCAACACCTCTCTCTCTCTCTCTTTATATATATANATATATGATTATCTTTTAGGTGAAACCTAAGATTTACTAGGCCGCTTTGGTAAATCTTGTGTTTCTTCCGGTAAAATCTAAAATTTACCCAGAACAAACTCATAGAAGACATTCAGATGTTTGGAAAATGCTTTTATTTGTAATTTATTTTCAAAGCAACAGTTATTATACTCATAAACTGACTGCTACATTAAGCAAATATCTCCCCATTTTATACGAACAATCCTCCAAGCAAGGTAAATGGAAGGTAAGCACCAGATATTGAGAGCGCAATAGCATCTTGAATTATTAAGCGAACATTGTCAACAAAACTTCGATTGTACTCCTCAGAACCCGAGGAGGCATCCTCATTCTCTGAAGCCTGGCAAGAAACGTGACACAGACACGTCGCCAGTAAAGCCAGTACAATTATAAATCGAGAAAACTGTAAGAGAAAAAAAAAACAATATATACTACATATTAAAAATGCAGAGACGTAAAACTAGATTGAAAAGTATTTTATAAAAGTACTTAATATCTATTACTAAAACAATTAGTAATAAGAACTATTTTAATGCAAATCAGCATTTATTTTTAAAAAATTTATAAAAAGAACTATCCATAATTTTTAATGTTAAGTTTTTCTCTTTAATATGATGCTTATATTCTGTAAAAAATTCTAGAAGAAGTAGGAAAAAATTCTAAATAAATAAATAATAGGAATCGTAAAAATTTTAGATCAAATTACAGTAAAAAGTACAGGCACAAAGGGAGCGGGTACTTTTTACCGTAAATACCATTTTTACCGGAACATGTTACGGAAAAAAAATCTGGTATACTGTAATTTTTACAGTAATAATTACCTTTAAGCCACTGAATTACTCTAATTAAACATATATTATTGTAAAAATTACGGTGCAATATTTTGCAGCTTAGATTGATTTTACGGTAAAAATGGATTTTACGAATGATGCACTCAAAATGACGATACTTTATACCGTACTTTGATCTGGGATTTTTTACAGTGCATGATGCTAGTCGGAATAATTTATTACAATGGCAGGTTTTTAGTAATAGTTAAGATTTTTCACAAGGCCTTACAAGCAGCTCATGAAAGTGCAGTGGCATCGTCTATTACGATTCCGATTCTATAACAAAGATAATAAAGAAAGAAAGATAAAAAATACTAATAAATATTGCTCGGAAAATACTTAAGGATTTGTGTCACATAAGGCTGCACCCAATGTGTTTTTTCAGTAACATCAGTAATACAATTCTGTAGCAGATTTCATTATGCTTTTAAGTAATTTACATATAATTAGCCTTATCAATAACTAGTTACAATTAAATAAAAAGTTTAAAGTTCATACTAGATCAGTTGCCTTAGAGATCAGAAGCTTCTGATAGATCAGTTGCTTCAGAAATCAGAGGCTACAAGCATGCAACCAATACAAGCAAAAAAAATGATTTAGGAAACCTGAACAAAGAAGTAAATGAATAAATAAATAAAAAATGAATAATAAAAAATAAAAAATAATAAATAAAAAGTATTGCTTAGAAAATACTGAAAGTGTTGTATCACATAAGGCTACACCAAATGTGTTTTTCTAGTATCACCAGCATTAGAAATTTAATACTGATTTCATTAGGAGTATAAATAAATCACATAAAGAGAAACCTCTGTTAAATATTGAAGGCATTTTTTTAGATCATATTATTTAATAACTTAGGTTATTCTACTGAGCCGACAGTTACATTAAATAAAAGGATTCCACTAGATCAATTGCTTCATAGCTCAAGGATCAGAAACTTCTGATGGATCAGTTGCTTCAGAGACTTTTAATAGACCAGTTTCTACAAACATCATGGATGAATGGCTTCTACTTTATTAGATTTTAAAGATTATTTTCAGAGTATTCAAATTAAATTAATTCGAAATTTTTTTTAACAAGTAGTATAATAACATACTTTATGTATTTACATACATCTGGATAATAAGAATTAACTAAAAGGAATTCATGTTGGTTGAAGAAGAAGATTTATTTCAATTTCAATTAATCATCTTTATAAATAATAACATAATATTACGATAATCATCATCATCATAATCTTAATCAATGAGTCAAATATTTAAATATTTCAACACTTTTCCATAATAATAGAGATTTTCTAATACAATAATATAAAGGACCAAATATAATTATATATTTGGAAACAGAGAATTAATTCTGTCCATCCAATTCTGTTTCTCAGAAATGTGTTGTAGCATTATACATTTGCGAATAGTTTGTACCTAAATATCTTTTCGTTACTTTTCTTAAAGGTAGGTATATAAATTCCATTTATTTATTAATGCGCGTGAGCTATAAGCTAGAATTTGTCTCGTTTCACTATTAAAAATGTTGAATGACGACGATATGATGGAACAATAAATGTAAAAAAAGAGATTAATACTTCAAAATCGGGAACCTATTATTAATTTAGTGATTTAAAAATAAGCAAACATGCATGTAAATAAACCGAAAATTAATCACAGAACAGCGAAGAAAAGTTATGAGAACTCAAAGGTGACGTCATTCAAAGCAGTGACAACAAAAAATATCATGGTAGCCATAAACGCTGTTTCATCAACAAAAAAAAAAAAAAAAAAAAAAANAAAAAAAAAAAAAAAAAAAAAAAAAAAAAAAAAAAGCGAAAATTATCGCCAAACCGAAAGGTCCTTTATTCTACACCTTAACCAAAAAATGTTGTTTTCTAATTAAATTGGATTCAGAACATTTATTTTAAATAAGTAAAAGAAAAGAATGGCAAAATAATGAACTTTGTGTTATAGTTCCGCAACAGCAACTAATAGAAAATTTTGTCCGCAGTGAAAAACCAACTTAAAGAATGACTAACACAGCTTCAGTTTTGATAACTTAATATTTATTTCCAAAACAACAAGCTATTTCCTACAAGTGGATATGATTTGATGTTTTTTTTTACAAATAATCGTCATGCGACTCTAACCAAACAACGATCCAAGCATGGTGGTTGGTAGCTCAGCACCAGAGATGCCAAGGTCGATGGAATGCCGTATAAGAATAAAGACTCTTTCAATAAAGCTTGGATTATATTCTTCGTCTGAAGTTTGACAGTAAATTTGCTGTATGCATATCATCAATGCTATCAGAACAGCTATTCTTTGGGACACCTGAACAGAGGGAAAATATTTTTTTGAACAAAGAAAAGTCAAAAACTTCAATCATTTAGACATTTCGCATAGAAATAAAGCAGAGTTTGTTTTGTACGACCTTATATTTTGCGTTATAAATTGTGCTCTTTTATTAGCATTATTTGATGCAAAATGACTGATTTAGTATTAAAAACAAATGCAGATTTTGAAAGCAAGTAAAAGTTGACATATAAAGCTCTGAAAGTGGGCAGGCACTGAAGAGTAGTTAACAAACCATAATCACTGATAATTAGTTCTATTTGGAACAAACTATTTCCTCTACATCTTTCATGAATTGCATTATAAATATAAGCATAACTATTAAGTTTATATTTGCTCTTGCTTTCGTGTAAACTTTTACTATTAGGTTTTATTTCTGGATTTATCATTTTATTAGACATATAAATTGGCAAGTGATATTTTTTATTTTATTTAAAAAGGCGTTGAACAGCCGGAACAATTCTGAGTTTACACTAGTAATGTTTAACTCCGTAGTCTCGTAATTTTGAATCCAGCCCAGAAAACCACGGAGCTCCAGGATCAAGCAATTTGACAAACCAACGAAACAATTTTTGATGGAACTACAGCATTGCCGTTACATAAGCAGGAAAATTACGAAAACCTCCCATGGTTAGCCCAACGGCAGGGGAATTCTAACCCATGATTTGTTCAGCACTGATGATATTTTAGGTCAGCAGTGTAGTTGGTGCAAGCCGGTAGTAGAATTCATAAAAACCAGTCACCACTGGGTCACTTAATTTTTAGGAAAACACTCTATCCCTTGAGCCTTCATGGCTCTTTCAAGCAATATTTTTTTTTATAACCGCCGTTGAACAGCTGACCCCATTCTGTGTTTACAACTATGAATTATCAACTCCGTAGCCTTGCAATTTTGAACTGAACCCAGAAGACAACAGATTTCCTGCATCAAGTATTGGGACAAACAAGCCTTCGTGATTCGTTCGAAGACCCTTTGATGGAAATGACCCGCATTCGTGTTACATGGTGAGGAAAGCCACGAAAACATGGTTACCTGGATGGAAGAGGGTTCTAACCCATTATCTGTCTACTACTGTTAATATTTTATACCAGCACTATGGTCGCTGCTACCAGGGTGCATTTAAAATGATATTGAAAACTTTCTTGCTTGTAACAAAAATATGCATCAGAATAATTTTTTCAAATATGCAAATACAATTTTAATAAAACAAATCATACCTGATACGTTGTCATTTATTTCCTATTGTGATATTGTTTTGATTTCTTTTTTATATTTAAATGAAATTAAGTTACTTCTGCTTTGAAGAAATAAAATAGTCTCCCATTGAAGTTTAAAGTACCTGATGATAATTTTCAACTTCTGTTATGTGCCATGAGGGCCTGAACTGCCCCTAGGTACCTCCTACCCTCGATTCATAGTCTAACAGCCTTTATGGAAAGTAAATACATACAGTAAATACAAGAGCCATTGCATTATGACCACCCTGCTAATAACATGTAGGACCACCATTAGTTCTCAAAACTGCTTGCACCTGCCGTGGCATTGATTCCACAAGGTGCTGATAGGTAGTCTGAGGTATCTGGTACCAAGCGCTCACCAACTGGTACTGCAGTTCCCTCACATTGCGAAGGGGTAGCGTGGTAGCACGAATATGGTTTCCCAAGTAGGACTACAAGTGCTCTACCGGATTAAGGTCAGGTAAATTTGGGGGCCAAGACATGACTTGAAAGTCACTGGAATGTTCCTTGAATCAATCCATGACGATTCGACCCTTATGACATGGTGCATTATCCTGTCGGTAAACACCATCCCCCGCAGGAAAAACTGTTGCCATGAATGGGTGAACCTGGTCTGCAACTATGTTCAAGTAGCTTACAGACGTCAGGGATTGTTCCATGAGGATTATGGGTCCTAATGTGCACCATGAAAACATTGTTCCTGGGCGAGAAACCATGAAAACCTGGGCGAGCCCATTGTTATAAATGGAGGGTGGTCATAATGTAATGGTTCTTCGGTGTATATGCAGCATGTTATGCTGATCACAGAGATAAGACTTTGCCTTCCCGTTAACTTTTTTTGGTTGTTGCGGAGGTGATTTAATTTCCTTTGGTATTTATTTAGTTAATAGAATAACCTGAATAAAATTAAAGCTACTTCTGCTTTGAAGAACCGAAATAGTATCCCGTGAACTTTTAAAATACCCGATGTTGATTTTCAACGTCTGCTATAT